AATGTCTACGTCTTTACTTGCCTTTGGAAAAGCAACACATAGCTATTCCAAAGGACAAGTAAAAAGGCGCAGTTGTAGACACCCAATTTCATCCGGGGGCATACAAACAAGGAAATGGACTTCCATTATCGAAGGAAAGAAACTCTCGAAGCATGGAAATAATAATACATGACATTAGAAGGCCTAAAAGCCCAAATAAGCTAGTTTTAGTGGCCCGGAACAGGCTGTTGCAAAACCAGAACGGGTCGTTCCCAATTTGAAATGGGCCGTTCCAAGTTCCTAAAAGGGCCTAAAACCCTAGTTTGGAATGGGCCATTCTGAAACTGGAACGGGCCGTTCCAAGCTCCTAAAAAAGGGCTAAAATCGTAATTGGAATGAGCCATTCCCAAAACTGGAACGGTCGTTCCTAAACTGGAACGGACCATTCCAAGTTATTAAAAAGGCTTTAAAATCCTTGTTTGGAATGGGCTATTCCTAAATTGGAACCGGGCCGTTCCAAGTTATTAAAAAGGCCTTAAAATCTTTGTTTGGAACGACCACTCTAGTATAGTCAGTTACGTGTTAATCTTATCCCTGGAACGGGTCGTTCTAGTTTCAAAATAGGCCGTTCTAGTTACAAAATTAACACAGAATGGCCAGATCCAGAACGGGTCGTTCCGATTTTGGAACGGGCCGTTCTGGCACCCTTCTGATGCCTATAAATAGACATCTCAGGCACAGTTCTCAGGGCCACAAAATTTTGTCCAGAACTCCTTAGAGCTCGAAATTTCTCTTTTTCTCCCTCCTATTGTATTTCTTGAGATTTGTAAGGCATTTGTGTAGTGTGAAAGGTTGCAATAAAGCACCTAGAATTTCAATATTGGAAGATTTAACAAAGCTTGCTACGAGGTATTTCAATTAATCTTCTCTTTCTTTTATTTCTTATTTTTGATAAGTATTGTTATAATAAAAACAATCATGTAGATATTTTAGAGTCAATTGTTTAATTTAAATTTCAAGCATGTAAATAATCATCAATAAAATGGGATTTAATATTTATATTATTATTGTTTATAATGTTAACTTCGTCATAGGGTACCGATTAAGGGCGTTGTAGGGGTGCTTAATACCTTCCCTACAAGTAACCGACCCTCGAACCCAATTCTGGTTATCAAGGCCATTATTGGA